TGAAGGTGGTACACGATTGATTAGTGTGTACATATGTGCATAAGCAAGCTTAATGCGTTTAGTTACCTAGTATTAAAAATGAAATAGTTGATTCGTTAGTTACTTGGACCAAGTAATCCGTGACATCAAATAAGCAGATTGCTGGATTTGCATGGCAGTGGATGATGTTTGCTTTTGACAGGTGCGGACTATCGAAGTTTAGTAGATTAGAGTTGGGATTGGGCTGATTATCTACTATAGATGGGGGAGAGTGGATATTGCTTTTCTCTTATATTTTCTTCTTTTTACTTTTTATTTCTCTGAAACTGTCCCGGTACTTAGGGATTTGAAGGTAGGACTAGTTTCGGGATCTGAGATGATGATGGATTTCTTAACCTACCATTGTAGGTAATTGGGGAGTGCGTATACTGGATCATACTTTCTTACTACTCGCTTATATTGCCGAATGTATAGGTATATGAGTTCATCTACATCTACTATGTAGTAATTAATGTGGAGTAAATGAAGCTACTAATGACAATGATGACGCTGACGCTGACGCTGACGAGATGTGGTCACTGCTGATTACTACTAGGATCTGTGCGAGGTTAAGTTGGACCATGTCGATCGTTTCCATCGTTTGCTCCTGTCGCAGGATCCATGTTAATATCGGGAGATCATTAACATAAAATGAGGGATTTTTGGGATTGATATCTATCTAGATAGAGTAGTAGTCGTCAATGCTGGGGCGGGAACTATGTTATGTTTCAATTTCACGGTTCGCTTCACGAGTCATGCAGGATTGATATTTGTATAACGTAGATTACTTTGGTATTCCGTCTTTTTCTTTTCTTTCGTTAATCCAATGTAGGTAATTTATCATCATTTTACTATAAAATCTCAATTTTCTTACTGTATTCCTGCCAAGCCCGGCAGTATGCACCGTGAGGCTTTAGAATGAAGAACCCCGGTCGATCTACATGCATACATTGACCCTGAATACCCAGGAATTCAAGCCACAAGGGTATTCACGGTTATTGACTGCTCTTCTATTGTTGAAGATATTCAGGCCAAGAATACTAACAGACAATTAGATACAATCCAGTGGCAAATCCCACCATGGGTGCTTGGTATGCATCCAACTTGGCAGATAGCCGATCCCTGATAAGGAGGGAGTAGAATCTCTACTATGTATGGACCCCCCGCTCACGAGGGCAGGGCCAGTTACCCACCGACTTTGATCGTATCTCAAATGTCTCGCATCGCAATGCTGCATCGTCATAGGCTTGCATTATCGCTCAACAATTCCACATAATTACCCGACTCGAAATTCCTAGACATGCTTTAGATCCTGTACTACGCGAGAATTGCAAATCCGCAGGCTAGATTTATCAACAACAGTGGGAAAATTACTACGAGTACAGCTGTACAGTTGGTTAAGAAGAAGGGATCAAATCAAGCATGTCGCTTAACATTATAATAAAATAACTTACTAACTGATTCAGACCCCTCACCAGAAAAAGCCAATAAAACCACACCATCTCGGCACACGAGATTTCGATTTCAAATTCCCCATTTAACGCGAAGCAAACAATCGATCAATCCATCGTGTCAGGCGGGCCTAATGTACGTACTAAAAATGAAAAGCCACCAGTGCTGCAGGTACCACCCATGCAACTGCCGTCCAATCCATGGATGGATGGATGACTCGAATCGCCCAAATCTGAAACTTGGTCCTTTTCAAGATTCAGTCATACTCCGCCCCCGGCAACTTCGTCTCACCAATCTTATCCCGGCAGTATTGATTAGTGAACCGGTGGTACCAAACTCTCTCTTTCTCTCACTTTTACCATTAAGTGTGTGTGGTGTGTGGCTAAAGTTAGATTGGAACTGGGCGCCCTGCAGGTAAACGAACTACGGAGTAAGTCATGCCCCCCTCTTTCTCTCCCCTCCAGAATTTTGTGCTGCCCTGCCTGCCATCATGTCCCTCATGACAGGATGATTGACCTATGGGTCGTAACTCAAAAAAGCGATGTCATGCATGTGTAAATCGAGACTTTCTTAAGATTTGTGCATTTTCTTTTATTTCATTGTTATTTTTTTTTTTTTTTTTTTCTTTTCATCCCTCCACTTTCTCTCCGCACAGTTGCGTGTGCAGTAGCAAGTAGTTCAGACTAGTGCCGCGTCGCGTTGTCGAGTACGGAGTAGATCCCCTCTTTTTTTTCTACTCCTCTCCTCTTCTTACTTTGTTACTGTGCCAAACCCCCGACCCGACCGAGAGAAGTGTGTGGGTGTGGTGGCAACAGACTAGATACGGACTACGGGGACTCAGGTACCCGTGGACGGAGAAGCACTGGGCCAGGGGTAAAAAGAGACAGACAAAGCGAGCCAGCGGACGGATGGGGAAAAGGGACTGACTAAACTACAAAAGTATCTACAGCACTAACTAACTAACAACTCAAAGTCATGCGAAATTAAACATTTCCTGCTAAACCTTGGAATGTGCCATGCGATGGGCTGATGCACTAAAAGAAGATTAAGATACCATCTTAAGTTTCGGTTTATCCTTGATTATTTTCTTCTACTGTGTTAAATGACTTGGTTATTCCTATTGTACTACTGTTGCAAATGATGCTAGTCCCTCTTCTACTTGGTATTTTATCTAGTTTGGTTTAGTGTCGCGCTTTCTTTTCTTGCTTAGCTCCGAACCTAACCTACGCGCTACTAAACATCTATCTGCACCCCCCGGTTACGGTACGTGCAAGCCGTGGGCTCCGCTGGATTTTACCCCTTGCGTCTTCTTGCATGGGCGACCATCCGACGGTCAAGAAGCGGCGGCAGACGATCATCCGGATATCATTATTTGGGGGGAAGGACGATCCGGATGATTGATTTAATTGATTAATGGATTACTACTGTGATCTTACTGGTTTAAATGTATAATCGAAATTATCCGTTAGTTGTTTGGATAACGAAGTAATATTTTTCATAAGAGGAATGGTGATGAGGATGATGTTAAGGGCGTTCGAAGGTTTGAAGGAGGGACTTGGAGAGGGAGGTGGAGGGGGAGAAATAGTACCCAAAGCGGTAAATGGAATTGGACGAACGCTAATTTATTTCACTATCTCTCCGTCCATGGGTATAGGCTAGCTATTATATCCAAAACATCTGACCTGGAGAATGTCTCTAAATTCTTTGTCTTGGATTGACAGTCATGACGCATTGATTAATTCAACCTCGCCTCTTGTCTGTCTTGCCTATCACTCTCTGGCTGGCTGTCAGTCAGTCAGTCAGTCAGCTGGAAGCGGGATGGATTGACCAGTCCTTAAAAATCAGGAGGCGTGTGCTGGTAATGGTGGTAATGGTGGTGATGGTGGGTGGGTAAGAAAACTAACTAATAATCCCTGAGGGGAGGAACAGCCCGACAGACCGACACACCAAGACCGTAGGGACCAATTTCAGGAACAGGAATTGTTCACTGGGTCTCTGGGGCTGTCTGGGTGGAGAGAGGGCCTTCATGTAATCCGTTCAACCGTTGGGCCACCCTGTGCTCCGTTCCCTTTTTTTTCCTTTCCATTATTCCCCCCCTTCTCCCCCCTCTCATGCAATACTTAGTCAGTGCTAGTTAGTTCCTCACTGATTGACACACTCGCTGTAAGAAGAAAAAGGGAAGAGAAAATAAAAAAGCAACAGAAAAGAAAAATACAAATGATGATACATACATACAAGTAGGAGAATTTGTCAGTCTTAAGAAACACGTTTATTAAACTGACTTTGAAAAAGAAAAGAAAACCACTCTCCAGCAAAGCAAACCCTCAAGCATGATATCGATGCAGGTGTAGACTAGATGCAGGTCCACACCAACCATACTCAAGGTCAAACTGCCCTGACGAAATTTGAATCCTCGCGCAACTAAAAAGTATCTACTTTTGTTTAGTGGCAGTGGTACCTGCTTGGCTCTCCATCCCGTCCGCTGCAAGTCACGGAAACCAACTCCACCCTTAACCAACCGTAAACGCCGTCGTGAGGGTTCGAGCGGATTTATTTCTCCCCTCCCTAAGTCCACTCGCGAACCATCCTGTGCCTTTTTTTCCCCTCTCTCTCTCTTGTTTCTCCTGGATCTCTGGTGCACTGGCTCAATCAATACCCATTCTTCTTATTCTTCTTCCCTTAATGATCATTATTTACTTTTATTATTATTATTACTGATTTTCCCTCTTCAATACTTCCAACCCTCCAGTTGTACCCTCTTTGTTCTTGTCGTCGTCGTCATCCCCTTCACCACATTGTCAACTTTCCACTCTGATATCCTGCCGCATTCTACAAAGTTGATTGATTGGGATCGCTTCTTAATATTTTTTATTTTAATTTTTCTATTCACCGCACTTCTTCTCTCCCTTATTACTTCTTTTTTTTTCTTACTTGATCACCCTCTCTCCCTTCTTAATCCACTGTCATTCCGATCCCTTCCCCCTGTTGGTTAGTAGGTTGCCCTGATTGATTTTCCTCTGCATCCGACCGGCATCTTTACTCCTGCCTGCCTCCCTCCCCTCTCTCTCCAGTCTCTCTCTTTCCACACTCTCTCCATCAATCATTAAATTAATCCTCTCCATCCTTGCCTTGCGCCTCCTTCCTTCTTCGGCAGTGGGAAATTTCCTCTTCCATACCACACAACCCATCTCTCTTTAATCTCCTCTTCAACTCCTCCGTCCCTCTCCGATTCGGAATTATTCCCACCGCCTATCTTTTGTTGCTCTCCAAGTTAACCCTTATAACCGCCGGGCAGTATCTGAGACGCCTCCTGTTGATCGCATCCATCGCGCTCCGCTACACGTTAATCCTCCATTCCGATCGCCCTTTACTTTTTCTCCATCCTATTTTTACTCCTTCTCTTACGCGACTAGCGGCGTCCACGTCTCGAGGTTGCCAACACCGTTAACTCACCAACCGTGCACATAGCTCGCTCCGATCGCTCATTCGCCTCTACAGCTACAGCCTTTCCACACGTCCGATAAGGGGGTTTTGGAACACCTGCGTTGCGTCGCTGCACTCGCTTGTCTTGTTCCAAATGATCAGTGGTTTCTAAAGACACAAACTCTGCGACCACAGCTCGAATTGTCATAATCGCGATATCGAAGGTGTCGAGTTTCGGTGTGGTTGATTGTTCGCCCGCATATATCGCGCCTCAACGCCCAATCGTGTGCTGCTTGATCCCAGCACACCTCTATACGCTCTTTTCTTGCACATAATGTCCGTTGCTACGATGCTACAACCCGCTTCGAGAGCCTCGACTTCATCGTCTTCTTCCTTTCAGCCTGTCACACGCCAAAACACCATGTCTTCCCACGATACGCGGTCCCTCCGCCAGTCGAAGCGGCTGTCAGTCACTGCGCTGTACATGTCCATGAATGCTAAGGACAGGGATTTGGATATATCAGACGATCTGGCGAGAGGTTAGTCACTGGATTTGGGTGGAATTTCCCTCAATTTGTACACCCTTGCTGACATTTCATGCGACAGCTCAAATATATCTGCGCGAACTGAAGGCGAAGATTTCAACGCAATCGAAGAAGAATTTCGTCCTGGAAAAAGATGTGCGGTACTTGGATTCACGGATTGCCCTGCTGATCCAAAACCGTATGGCTCTGGAAGAAGTAAGAATTGATCCGTCTCTCTTGCATGGGTAGTTCCTGACCGTACCAGCAAAACGAAGTTGCCAGCCACCTCGACGACGCTATAGATCCCCAGGAGGGATTCTTTCCTAACGATGAGCGAACACAGAAGTACGGCAATCTTCTCTTTCTTCTCCAGTCCGAACCCCGTCACATCGCCCACCTGTGCCGCCTAGTCTCCATGTCCGAGATCGACTCCCTCCTGCAAACAGTGATGTTTACTATTTACGGAAATCAGTATGAGAGTCGTGAAGAACATCTGCTACTTACCATGTTTCAGTCTGTCCTCACCTATCAGTTCGATAACACTCCAGAGTACTCGTCACTCTTGCGCCAGAACACCCCTGTTTCCCGCATGATGACCACCTACACCCGGCGCGGTCCTGGTCAGAGTTACCTGAAACAAGTCCTTGCCAACCAGATCAATGCCCTGATCGAGCTGCGCGACGTCGACTTGGAGATCAACCCGCTCAAAGTGTATGAAACCATGGTGAAACAGATCGAAGAGGAGCAGGGCTCGTTGCCAGAAAGTCTTCAGAGATCTGTTACGGCGGAAGATGCAGCGGCAAATGCGCAGGTGCAGGCCATTATCGAACCGCGATTGAAGATGCTCACCGATTATGCCAACCGATTCTTGAACATAATCATCGAGTCCGTGGAAGAGACACCGTACGGCATTCGGTGGATATGCAAGCAGATCAGGAGTTTGTCGCGACGCAAGTACCCGGACGCTCAAGATCAGACCATTTGTACCCTGATCGGAGGATTCTTCTTCCTTCGCTTCATCAACCCCGCTATTGTCACGCCTCGATCGTATATGTTGATTGAATCGACGCCCACGGAGAAACCCCGCCGGACGTTGACCCTTATCGCGAAGATGCTTCAGAATTTGGCCAACAAACCTTCGTATGCCAAGGAGCCGTACATGGCGAAACTTCAGCCTTTTATCCAGCAGAACAAGGAACGTGTGAACAAGTTCATGCTCGATCTGTGTGATGTGCAAGATTTTTATGAAAGCTTGGAGATGGACAACTACGTCGCGCTCTCAAAGCGAGACCTCGAGTTGCAGATTACCCTTAATGAGATGTACGCCACACACGCCTTGCTGGAGAAGCACAGCTTGGCTTTGGCCCAGGACCAGCACTCCCATCTCAATGAGATCCTGCAGGAGCTTGGTTCTGCGCCACCACAGGTCCCCCGGAAGGAAAACAGGACCATCACCGTGCCCTTGTTTAGCCGCTGGGAGACGTCTCTTGATGATTTGACTGCGGCCTTGGATATCACCCAAGAAGAAGTCTTCTTTATGGAGGCCAAGTCCACCTTCGTCCAGATTTTGCGGTCTCTCCCTCCGAAACATCCGGCCATGCGTCGTCCGCTACGGCTATATCTCATTGCGGAGAGTGCTGCAACCCTCAAGAATGATGCGGTGATGGTCCGGAAAGGAATCCGTACTATAGAACTGCTCGATCAACTGATGAAGTTGGGCGTCATCGAACGTGCTGATGACTTCAGTCTCCTGCGTGATGAGGTTGAACAGGAACTGGCGTACCTGGGCGGCTTGAAGGAGAATGTCTTGAAGGAGACGAAGAAGCTGGAAGAAGTCTTTGCCACCATACGCGACCACAATGCGTACTTGGTGGGTCAGCTGGAAACGTACAAGTCGTATCTTCACAACGTCCGCAGTCAGTCCGAGGGCAAGCAGCGGAAACAGCAGAAGCACCAGGAGCTCGGACCCTACAAGTTTACACACCAGCAGCTTGAAAAGGAAGGTGTCATTCGCAAGAGTAACGTTCCAGAGAACCGACGAGCCAACATCTACTTTATGTTCAAGAGTCCTTTGCCAGGCACGTTTGTCATCAGCCTGCATTATAAAGGTAAGCCATGATCTCCATCTTTTTCCTTACCATTTTATCTAACCAACGATGTCAGGCCGTGCTCGTGGTCTTCTGGAGCTGGATCTCAAGCTCGATGATCTGCTCGAAATGCAAAAGGACAACCAGGAGGACTTGGATCTGGAGTACGTCCAATTCAATGTCTCGAAGGTGCTTCTACTTTTGAACAAACGATTTGCACGAAAGAAAGGGTGGTAGAGAGACCGCACCTATCGCCTCTCTTTTACACTCTATCACGACGTCTATGAAACGGAGCGGGTAGTCACCGGCAAGCCTCAAGACGGGCCAGCCTTCAGTCTTGGCTATTAAGCCGCCAATTTGATGAACGACAATTGGCCTTGGATATACGCCAACATGTCTCGAAGGCCGTGGCCGTGTTATCTGTTTGGATCGTCTATTCTACGTTATGACCTGGGGACGGACGATTGAATTGTACACTTCACCATGCGGCTTCCCACCCAGATGTGGTGCGGGTCGACCATGGATGCATAAGATGAGTTGCGTTTTTTGTTTTGTTACTTCCGATTTCTGTTAAGATAGGGCTCCTATGCGGGGCAGTAATGTGGTGGGGCGGCCAGCTCTGTTAATCCCAAGCGTGTGGTCCTGGACTCTTTCCTCGCTGGCTCGGGGGTGAGTGGGCATGAGCCGGGGTTTTCTGAGCAGTGTTGCTTTTCGTTTTGTCCTTGCGACGGCTATACCCCGTTGAATGATATTGCGCTTGAGTGTCTTTTATTGGGTCAGTGCGGTTTGATGAGATTGGTGCGCTGTGTTGCTTCAGCGGCTCTGGTAAGGCCGGCCGTCATGTTACCCTGTGTTTATATGTACCAGTATGCCTTGGATTTAGCGTTGTGAATTCCCCGGAATCATATATTGTATGGCTTTTAATGAGGATGATGCTCTGGTGTCTAGGCCATGAGCAATCTGCAACACCGGACCATGTTTAGGATTGTGCGATTCTTTTGACTGTAATATGATCGACCTGAGCTGTTCGAATCAGTCGATGTAAATAATCGATCGTCGGGGGTATTTGGCTAGCAATTTCCGCCGAGTGATAGTCGGCCAAGTTGCCCAGAAAACCGGCAGCCGTGGTCCAGACACCTACGTCACTGCCCCGGAGCACAAAATGGCAACGGCGCGACCGCCCTGAAACGAAAGGGCGCATTGGCGAAGGAGAGGCTTAGGTGGTGGTCGCAAACCAGGGGGTTTGAGGGGTCTGAAGGGGAATGATGGTCATGAGGCAGGATGCGTTCCTAATCAACAAGTAGATTGAATCGATAATGAAACAGGTGCAGCCACGCATGACGCCTCAGAAGTACTGTGTAAAGAAGGGGGGGGGGGGAGAGGAAATGGAAACCTGACCGCTTTACGCGCCACCCCTCGGTTTTTTCAGGCACGCAATTCAGGCCGACAGCTGCCACTTGACAAGCCAGACAAGTAGGCAGTGAGTAAGTACTCAGTGAGTGGTCAACTCCAGCAGTCAGTAGTAGGAAAGTTGCAGTGAGTTCGACTTGGTTTGGATTCCCGTCTAAGTTTGGCTGTTTCCGTCCGCCGTCTCATTTCTTTCTCGCCTTCTGGCTTTTTTTTTTTTGCCTCTTTCTCTCTCCGCCTCTAGGTTAATTTCCAGTTTAGTTGTTCATATTCTAGGCAGTTGTTCCTCCTCCTCTTCTCCTTCCCCTTAACCGCTGCTATCTGCGACATCCCGCTTAATTGTCCCTCCCCACTCCCCTCTCTCCTCCTCTCCTCTCTCTCCCCCCCCTGCACCGCCCGATTTCTCCTCTTGCCTCCTCCTCCCTTTTGAACATCAACTCATCCCGCCTTCGGGTCTATAACTTTCTCTCAACTCTCTCCTCCTCTTCCTTTCCCCCAACCCTCTTCATCCACCATCACCTTCACAATGGCGGCTCCCCAGTCCAAGTACGATGACTACGATTTCCCGACCACTGCGCCGGAAGACCAACCCGGCCACCCTGGCCACACCACCCCCGAGCAGGATGCGAAGGTAGAGCAGCTCCGGGCCGAGCTGGAACAGCTTGGCTACACCGAGAGGCTGGATACTCTGACGCTGTTGCGTTTCCTGAGAGCCCGGAAGTTTGATGTCGCTGCTGCCAAGACCATGTACGTTTTTGCTCCCTGATTATGTTGAGACGACTAGCGTCAGTTGCTGGAGCCTACGCGTAAGCGGGTGCTATGGGAAGACGGAGTTGAAAGTCTCTGTCTTCTATTTTTGTCTCCTGTTTCACGGAGACTTTGTTACAATATGCTACGCACTGTGATCATGGAAATTTGAAACCTCTCGAAGCGCGCGCTAACAGCCACTTCTGGAAATAAAGGTTCGTCGACTGCGAGAAGTGGCGGAAGGAGTTCGGCACTGATGAGCTGGTCCGTACTTTCGAGTACCCCGAGAAGGCCAAGGTCTTCGAATACTACCCCCAGTACTACCACAAAACGGACAAGGTGCGTGACTTGAACAGACCGCTTTTTCTCCACCGCTAGACTGGTCGAGACGCTAACGATCGGAACTCCGAATAGGATGGCCGTCCGGTCTACATCGAGAAGTTGGGCAAGATTGACCTCAATGCCATGTACAAGATCACCACCGGCGAGCGCATGCTCCAAAACCTCGTGACCGAGTATGAGAAGCTTGCCGACCCCCGTCTGCCCGCCTGCTCCCGCAAGGCTGGTAAGCTGCTTGAGACTTGCTGCACCATCATGGACCTGAAGGGCGTCGGTATCACCAGCGTCCCCTCCGTCTACGGCTACGTCAAGCAGGCGTCTGCCATCTCCCAGAACTACTACCCCGAGCGTCTGGGCAAGCTTTACCTGATCAACGCCCCCTGGGGTTTCAGCAGCGTGTTCAGCGTGGTCAAGGGCTTCCTTGACCCGGTGACCGTGAACAAGATCCATGTTCTCGGCTCCAACTACAAGAAGGAGCTCCTGGCTCAGGTCCCCGCTGAGAACCTCCCTGTTGAGTTCGGCGGTACCTGCCAGTGTGCCGGAGGCTGCGAGCTTAGCGACATGGGCCCGTGGCAGGAGTCTGAGTGGGCTAAGACCCCCAAGTGGGCTGTCCCGAAGGAGGCTGCTGCTGAGGCTTCTACTGAGGCTGCTGCCGAGAAGGAGGCTGAGGCTCAGGCCACCGCATAGAGGCTTTGTGTCATCCACTGGTTTTGTTTTTTTTTCGTTCTACATCTTGGATCAATATGGTAAAAGCTTCAGGCACTATCTTGCCGATCTATATCCCTTCTTTTGTTTCTAGAACTGTTTTGCTAGGGAGAGGTACTCCGCGGGTGCCTGTCCACTTTTCTGTTATATTTCAAGATCCGTGCTGGAAGGGTTGTTGAGAGTTGTTCTCGGGGATTCCGCGGTCCTATTATTATGTGTTTTGCTTTTGGTCGTGCTTATTTTCCTTTTGCAGTCAGATATCAAACACCATATGAGCGGCGCGAGGTGCTTTTTATAGATTGGAGCCGGGGCAGTCAGTAATAGGGGGCAGACGATAAAAGAAAAGTGTTACGTGGTCAGGATGCTCTAGGTAGAACCAGGGTAGACACTCATATAGCGTTAGAGTGAACGTTGCAGAGCGTGTCCATCAGATCTTTCATTATTGTAAACACATTATAAACCGATTGGTATCATCCCAAGACCCCTGCAAACGCCGATAGCAGAGAAAATAAACAACGCAGTGGTAAGCAGACATGCCTAAGCAAGCAGTCATTTCTTCTTCTCTCCCTTCTTCTCCACCACCTCGACAGCCCGCCCAGCCCTCTCGGCCTTCCCCAGCGTGGAAGAAAGCGCATTTCCATCCGTCCCATCACCACTCGTATCCACAGAGACCCCCTCACCCTGAAGCCTTAACAACGTCCGCAACGCATCCTCATACACCTCCGCCATCTCCCCACTCCGCCACCTCTCCGCCTCATTCTCGGTTCCCAGCGAGATCTCCAATTTCGCCCGCGACCTCGTCATCGGCCCCTTCCTTTGAGTCCGTGTCGTTGTCGTCGTCGTTGTGCTTGTGGCCCCCGCATCAGCCATCTCCGTATCCTGTCCCGCCCTCTGCTCTTCTTCTTCATCTTCCTCCTCCTTCATCTCCTCCTGACCCTCCCCTTCCAAATCCTCTAATTTCTCTTCCTCCTCATCCTCCCTCAACGCCCTCCTCAACTGCTCCGCATACGCCTTCGCCGCCCGACCCGGCGCATCCCGTCTCAACTGCGCCACCGTCGTCGTCAACGACTCCAATTGCGCATACAGCGATGTCACCCGCGATGCTAGTTTCCCGTCGTACGCTTCGTATTCCACTTGTTCGGTGGGCGCTGTGAAGGCTGCTGGGAAGGGCCATTCGGGCGATGTGGAGTCGAGTCCGTTGATGCTTATGGAGGGGGAGGCGGAGTTGAAGGTGCGGTTTATGTACTGGATAGGTTACAATGTCGTCAGACATTGTGGGATTATAAATATGTATGTGTGATGTGGGAAGGGATAGGGTATTATTACCTCATCGACTAATTCTCGCACGCGCTCGCGCATAGGATCTGGTCCATCGTTGGGGTTCGCGGATGGAGGTAGGTGGAGGTCGAGTTTTGCTCGTGAGAGCGCGACGGTGTTGGCGTATAGGTAGGTGAAGTCGGCGGGAGATTGGAGTTCGATTTTGCGGTGGTGGTCGGTGGACATTTTGTTCCTCTCTCTTTTTTTTTTTTTTTTTTTTAATTCTTTGGTGTAGTGGTAGTGGAGGGAATTTTAGGTATGGGTGGTGGTGGTGAGGAGGGAGGGGAAATACGCGTCGTAGAGTATGTTTGATGATTGTTTGATGCGGAGATACTAACTAACTTTACGATAGCAACTATCCCTCTTTGCTGCCTAAGGCAACAAGGGGACACAAAAGTAAAAGTGTCTGCCTCAGGCATTACATAGCGTCGATCGCCCCGCAAACGATGTCATCATTGATCGAAATCGGGAAAGTGTGAAGTTCCCATTCTCACCATGCCTTGCTTTACGAACGAACTACTACTTTTTTTTTTCCTTTCTATCATCATCTTCTCCCAACCAGGCAGGTTCCGGTGGGTTGTTTTTGTCGCACCATTTCCAATGGGCTAAGCTTTAATCTTAATTTGAGAGAAGAAATCTTGTTGCTTTATATAGCCCTCTCTGCTCGTGCAGGCTCCCATTATTACTTATTCTAATTGGAGAAAAGGTCCCCTTTTAAATCTCCAACTAGTCTAGTCATTTACTTAGTTGTTGTCTTGTCTCACATACAACACTTATTCATTTATTTCTATCCCTGCAGAATGATGACTTTATTATCGTTGCGATGATCGGATCCCTTTTTTTTCCTATTTTATTTCATATTTTATAATATTATAAGATCGGCCTCAGACTCTCATATACTGGTTAGTAAGGAGGACAGGCAGGCACCTACAATGGACATCGACCACTCCAATACAACTACCAGCTCTATCGCCCTCATCGATAACACTGCGCCCCGTCGCCGCCATTCGGAAACTCCCACCGCTACAACAAACGGCGGCAGCTACGTCTCCCGGAAATGGACGAAAAGGTCAATTCGCGGCGAGCTGAAGAAGCGCAAGTACGCTAAATGGCAACCGGATCGATTGGGGCTTACAACCGATGATGAAGATAACAACTACAGCTGCAACAACAATGAAGAGGAGGAAGGCATACCGTCATCCAGCGGACGACCCTCTGAAAGACCAGAACCGTCGGACCTCTTTACTACAGAAACAGCAACCACCACGAGCCCTCCCCCCTCGCAATACCAAAGTCGAAGTGACAGCCCCAGCCAACAACAACAACAACCTTCACCCCCTTCGCAGGACGTAAGCGCCACGGATTTCGCCCCAGAAAGCAACACCCTCTTCACCACCCACACCACCAATACTACTACAGGGGCTAAGGCCCCCAAACTTACCGGCCTAAAACCAAACACCGAGCTCGACATCCTCTACGAAAACCAACGCGGGTGGTTCTTCTTCGGCATCCCGCTCTACTCACATAGATCCCTGCTCAACTTCGACCCCTCCGCCTGGCAGACCGCCGATCTGCGCGACAGTCCCGTGGACATCACGAACGCGCAAGTGCCCGATCCCAGCTGGGTGTGGGCCTGGCGGTCCTGGTACGTCGATATGTCCGGCGACGTGGACGACCAGGGATGGCAGTATTCGTTCTCGTTCAAGTCGACGGCGTGGCATGGGTCGCATCCGTGGTTTCATTCGTTTGTGCGCCGGCGCAGATGGGTGCGGGTACGGACGAAACGGTTGGTGGATAGACATGGGCGGACGGGGTTGGAGATGGCGCATAGGTTGAATGAGGATTATTTCACGATTCATTCAGGAAAGAAGAAGAAGAGGCCGGTTAGTGAGGTCGGTGGGGGTGGGTATGGGGCTACGAGTTTGGGTCGGACCACGACTGCGACAACTGCAAGGGAGATGGAGGAGGAAGGGGCGCCGATAGAGGAAATAGCGAATATCCCGGCGTTGATGCACGCGTTGAGAGTAGCGATTGTGGATCGCGAAAAGGTGGATGCGTTGGATCGGTTCGTCGACGAGGGCGGAGAGGAGTTGTTTTATTTGGATGAGAAGGTATTTCCCCATACCATTACCCGTTCCCTGCAGATATCCTATCCAGCAGGAGCAATATGCTAATCGTGATATGTTATCAACATCCAGATCCCAGAGATAATGTCCATGTTCGTCTTCCAAGCCTCCCGCTGGCACTTCGTCCTCCACCTCACCGACGTCGTCGAGTCTCTCTCCCAACAACTCTCCTCATCCAGCGGAGATAATGAAGCCACCGAGCTGCAGCGCAAGCTGGATCATCTCCGAAAGGCCACCGAAACAGCTAGACGCCATCTCACGGGCCCGGGGGTCCTGCGAACCGAGAACCGGAAATCGAGCATGGAGATGCTGGACTTAACTCCTGTTTCAAAGCGTGGAAGCCTGTTGGCGAGATACTCTGGCCGGTTCGAGTTCAAGTCAATGGATGATGGAGGGGAGATTAAGGGGATTCCGAAGGAGGCGGAGGTAGGTAGGGAAGGGCATATATTTCAGTATTCTTCTTGATTTTGGTGTTTCTTTGGATGGGGAGTGGAGTTTTGGGTTGGGTTAGTATTGCTTGGTTAGCGTAGGAGCTGTATCATTATCCATCTGTTCATTGTTGATATGTATTCATATCATTTAAAACATCTCAAAGAGCAGTCAGTATACGGAGTAAATGCTTGGCACCGCGGAGGTGCGGTAAAAATGCCAACCACGACCGCCTACCTACCGCCTACCAACCCCGGCAAACCACCCCAACCCAACACCTAACTTAACTAACAGTAATAATAACTTTTTTGGCTCCGAAGCTCCCCTGCCTCTTCTTCCCTCGGTCATTCCGATCTCCTCTACGACCACGACCACGACCACGGCCAACCACGCCTTCCAAGTTCCACCTCCCCCCGCCGCTTGGTTGGTGTGTCACTCCGATCCCACATGTTATCTCGTGGTCGACCGTGTCTGAAAAGACGTAGTCTATCTACCGTCTTAGACACCGTCGCGGCTAGTCCCGAAGAACCTCTCCTATTCCTGTACCCTCGCTGGGTGGGTTCGGCTGTACGACAACACCGGAGACTTGTTTCCTCGTCGTCGGGTCCTTCGTCGTGTGGAAATGGGAATGTATATAACACTGCTGCTGTTGGGAGGAGGACGGTAACGAAACCGTCCCCGCCGCCGCCGCCGCCGGCCGGACGAAAGCTCTCGTTTGGGAGCTCGTCGAGACGGTGGGTTTCGACAACGACGACGGCGGCGGAGGAGGCTGTCGTTAAGACGGAAGTGAAGCAGGATGTTGTTCCGCCTGAGCAGGGGAAGTCGGCGGCGGCTCCGCAGAAAGGGAAACGTGGTGAAGAGAATGCCAATACCGGATCGCCTGCATCTATCTATAACCAATTAGACAATGACCCGGAAACCGAGGTGAAGAGCGAACGACATGTCTTCAATATCTTCTCCGATTTACAGACGCGAACTGTGCAGTCGACGATGGGCCGGAAGGGTATGAGATCGGCTGCTGGTGAAACGCCCGCTATTGCGCTGAAGCGACTATCGCACCGCGACCGACGGAAGTTGAGATATCGGCTGTTTTTGACGAAGCAGAGTCAGGGTCGTGATAAGGCGAAGAATAATCAGTGGAATAAGTGGACGAAGATCCGGGAGATGTTGGAGGAGATGCATGAGGATACGCATGTCTGGGCGAAGAAGGGCGTCAAGCAGAAGGAATTGCTCGTGCCGGAGGAGACGATCGCGCTGTTGGCCGGCGTCACGGACATGGCGTTGAAGGAGAATGTTTGGTATGTGCCGGTGCATAATGGGTGCAAGGTGCATGTGCTGCGTCCGTTGCAGAGCCAGGGTCGGTTTCGGAGAGTGATTCTGTCTGGTTCCGAGCGGGTGGTTGAGTTGGTCAGCGATAGGATTGCGCAGGCGAGGAGACTGCAAGAGCAGAGTGACCCTCTGGTCGATATTCAAATCCCGCTTTTCCCGATTATCCCGTCTATTGAAGCGATGAAGCGTCAGGGTGCGCCCGTGCCGCTGGTTCGAGGTGTATGGGATATACAATCGGCTGTCAAGCAGGCCGCGAAGCTGCATATGGTTCTACCTGCTGGGAAGAATTTGTCTGGGATTAGGGACTTCGCGGAACATGTGGAGGAATTGACAAGGTCGAAACCTTCGTATAACTCGAAGATTCCCTATTCGCACCAGAAGCAAGTGGCGCGGGCCCTTGTGCAGCTGTTTCGGAATGAGGCATATTCCAGCTTTATGTCGACGGCGGCGCTGAATCGAGCGCTGTCATATCTGCTCGACCATGAGTTTCTGAACGCCGCCCGCGACATCTTCCTCAAGTCCGAACACCTTGCGACGGTGGATACCTTCAATATCCTCCTGAAGTCTGCGGCTAAGAGGCAAGACCTCCGCTTCTTCCGTCAGTTCTTGCTTGCCATGTCTCGACTGAGCATTCGGCCTGACCCCAACACATGGCTCACCCTGCTGGATTGCCTGGTTGCTCCCAAGGCGAAAGCAGATCTCGTCACGTATATGCTGCAGCGCGGGTACCTGGAGAACATGGGTGCGATGCGGACGGCGCTACACCTGACCCTGCCCAACACGTTCCGAGCACACTTAGAAAGTGGCAAGAGCGTGGATTCATTCATCAGGCAGACCGCTGACTCCTGCGGAGATAGCTGTTTCGCTCCATCTCTGATCAGCCAGATGTTCGGTGTCATCGTCCGGCTGAAAGACTTTGCTGCCCTGGACCGGTTATTCGACATCTGCAAACAGAACGACCTAACCTTCAACAGTGCTACCATCACCCAAATCCTGTCTCTGTTCCGAGCAGACATGCCCACCGCTCTGCGCTATCTTTTCCGATGCCTTGAGCGCCCGGAAACAAAGCTCGAACGGCACGCATGGGAGCGACTCTTCCTGGTCGCTTTCAAAGGCCAATACTACAACATCTGCCGGGTCCTCTGGAGGTACGCGTGCATGTCCGGAAACGTGACATACAAGATGAAGCGCACGGTCGTGACTTCCTTGATCCGCAATGTGCCCCGAAAGCCCGAGACCAACGTCCACACGATCTGGGATGTGAGTGCGGGCAAAGTCATCGTGGGACTGGACCTGCACCGTCCCGACCATAAGCTCCAGACCACCGTGCTCGACAAGCTACCCCGGGAGTATCGCACCAACCCCATCGCCTATTTGAGTTCAGGCTACAAGCCCAGCGGCGAAGAGCGGGAGCAGCAGATCCAAGTGGCCTCTGCGCTCACGCAGCATGATATCGAGATCGGTTCCTGGCATCGCCCGCAGTTTCCTCTGCTGATTATGTTGGAGGCCGCCTCGGTCTTGGATCAAGAGTGGCGGAAGGTGCCGCGGCCGGTACACTGGCTGGTCCAGAATGCCATTCGCGTGCCGGTGAGGAAGTCGATGTATCCGGCTTGATCTGTTCCCTTGTTATTTGCTCGATTGTGGCTTCACCATGGCCCTGTTATATATACACATCTTGTACATTATGCCCTCCCTCCCGTCCACCTCACATCACATCACATCACACTCTGTACATAGACCTGGAACCACCCCACCACATAGAAACCCAAAAGCAATAGATTGTATCTATAATAATCCACAACCTAACCCCGCACACATGCAATGCAATGCAAGCAGACCAAACCAGTCCAACAATTCCACATATATATCTTCATCATAGCATAACATAGCATAGCATAGCATAGTCATTACAGTCATTCACATCCGTCCAAGAAGGAAGAAAGGGGGAAAGGTATCCAAAAAGAGTGAAGGTAGGGTAAATATAACCTCTACCACTTCCCATTTTCATGCGTCAACGCCGGCTCCGGCGCGGTCACCACCGTGTCCGATCGATCCTCAATCAAGGGGTAAGGCGGCCCTGTTTGCTGAGCATACGGGTCCATATTCGTCCGCATCGACCCAACCCCTTCCTTCAAGTACAACACAAGCCGATACGCCGAATTGCCATTCAAGTAGTACCGATGCAGGCGTTTACTCCGCAGGAACCCGAGTCGCTCGTAGAGCTTTATCGCCGCGGTGTTGGTGGTTTCGGTTTCGAGCACGATCTGCAATCGACGGATCGTTAGTGGAACGTGCACATGCATTTAGCCATGGGGATCTTGGAGGTAGGGATTTACCTCGTCCGCCCCTCTCTCCACCATAGCATCAATGGCCATACGAGCCAATTTCGTGGCTATCCCCTGGCCCCGATATTCCTCGCGCACGGCTAACATGGCTATGTATCCGCGTAAGGGGCCCCCGCGATGCGGCTCCAATTTGCTCACGACGACGCCGACCATTGGTGAGGAGGATTGGAGCTCGGAGTTGTTGTCGTCCATGGCCATGAAGCAGAGATCACCCCATTGGTAGAGGAAGTAGCGGTAGACGTAGATACTGTAGGGTTCGGAGAGGTCTTTGGAGATTAATTGGCGCATGGCGGGGACGTAGGTGTCTTCGTGGGCGGCATTGTAGCGGATATAGCGGAGGGGAGTGGTGGTGGTGGTATTATTTGTCGGTGTAGTAGTGGCGGTAGCATCTGTAGTAGGAGGATTAGAAGTCATTGTGGAGAGGATGAAAGACTCGAATCAGAAGAGAGAGCAGGGCATGAATGGAGAGTAAATGGGAAGCCGAGAATAAAAAGAAGTGATGACGTCCCGCACATGTGATTTTCCGGCGGTGCCTGAATTGGGACGGATTCGGTTTTCTTCATGTCAAACTCGGTTATTTTTGGCTCAAACCTTCTTTTTTTCTCCTTTCTCCTATGATTCTGCTTTGACGTGAACTCCCTCTGGTCTCTCCTCTTTGCTTCTAGGTTTCTTACATGATTTCCGTCGTCTAAGTGCAGCATGCTCCGCCGTCGTGTGGCCAAGGACAAGGACGGTGCGTCCGCATCGCCGTCCCCGTCCGACTCCCGCGACATCCCCGACTCGACTGCGTCGGCGCAGAAGAAACCCAAAGGAGAGTCGTTTGTCACCAAACCTCGGAGTAAACGGCGCAATGGTCTTATCTTCGTCCTGGGTGGCTTGTTTGGTGTCCTCGTGGCCGTCCTCTTCGCCAATCAGCAGGATGTGATCAGTCTGGATAGCATAATGGACCTGAACTTGGAGTCGTTGATGGATGTTATGCCTCAGGGATTGCTCTCGGATGTCAGGGAATTCACGGTACGACCCAATTCCTTGTCAAGCGACTTGATCATCTCAATAGGACACGCCATATACTGACATCCCGCGCAGCAACATGAACGCGACACCGTCGCCTACGACTCCTTCTCTGTCGGTCTGCACCTCCAAGCCGAAGGCGTCCACGCCAAACACCCCATTGTCATGATCCCCGGCGTCATCTCGACCGGTCTCGAGAGCTGGGGCACCGACGCAAACTCCCGCCAGTACTTCCGTCGCAGACTCTGGGGCAGTTGGAGCATGATGCGCGCACTGGTCCTCGACAAGACCGAATGGAAGAACCACATCATGCTAGATAAGGAAACCGGCCTGGATCCCCCCGGCATCAAGCTCCGCGCGGCACAGGGCTTTGACGCCACCGACTTCTTCATCACCGGCTACTGGATCTGGAACAAGATCCTCGAGAACCTCGCAACCATCGGCTACGACCCGACCAACGCCTTCACCGCCGCCTACGACTGGCGCCTCTCGTACCCCAACCTCGAGCGCCGCGACCAGTACTTCAGCCGACTGAAGTCCTACATCGAGACCGCCGTCCAGGTTGGCGGCGAAAAAGTCACCCTCGCGTCACACAGCATGGGCTCACAGGTGGTCCTGTACTTCCTCAAATGGGTCGAGCACCCGGACCACGGCGCCGGCGGCCGCGACTGGGTCAACAACCACATCGCCAACTGGATCAACATCAGCGGATGCATGCTGGGCGCCGTGAAGGGCCTAACGGCCGTCCTCTCCGGCGAGATGCGCGACACCGCCCAACTCAACGCCTTCGCCGTCTACGGGCTCGAAAAGTTCCTCTCCAAGGAAGAACGCGCCGAGATCTTCCGCGCCATGCCCGGCATCAGCAGCATGCTTCCCAAGGGCGGCGAAGCCGTTTGGGGCAACGCAACCTGGGCTCCGGACGACCTGCCCGACCAGTCCCAGTCCTTCGGCACCGTGCTCAACTTCCGCGAAACCAACTCCTCCCACAGCAGCAAGAACATGACCGTCGCCGAAAGTCTCAACTACCTCTTCGATGAATCCGAGTCCTGGTACCGCGACCAGGTGCTCAGCAGCTACTCCCACGGCGTGGCTCACACAGCCCGCGAAGTCGAAGAGAACGAAAACAACCCCCGCACATGGCTCAACCCCCTCGAAGCCCGGCTCCCACTCGCCCCGGACCTCAAAATCTACTGCTTCTACGGCGTCGGAAAACCCACCGAGCGGAGCTACTACTACCAGGAAGAACGTGACCCCCTGGTCAACCTGAACGTCAGCATCGACACAACAGTAACCAACAACGACGGCGTCGATCACGGCGTCCTCATGGGCGAGGGCGATGGCACCGTCAACCTCCTAAGCACGGGCTACATGTGCGCCAAGGGCTGGCGTATGAAACGGTACAACCCTGCCGGAGTGCAGGTCAAGGTTTTTGAGATGCCGCATGAGCCGGATCGCTTCTCGCCCCGTGGTGGTCCGAATACAGGTAGCCCCCCCATCCCCATCCCCTCTTACTCCCCTTATAAAGAAAGAACTATATTAACAAGAGAGAATATAGGCGACCACGTCGACATCCTCGGCCGCGCATCCCTCAACGACCTCATTCTTCGCGTAGCAGGCGGCCAAGGAGACCAGATCGAAGAGACGTTCGTCTCGCGGATTAAGGAGTACGCGGATCGGGTACAGGTTTTTGATGATGAATGAACGTGATAGATGTATTGTAATGTGAGTAGAGGGCGTTATTATTTTTCTTTTCTTCTTTCCTTTATTGGGAATTACCTACCTATTAGTACATAGTACCTACTATACTATACTATACTATACTATATACCTATATTATATGTGTGAGATGATGGTGGTGGGTGGTGGGTGGTGTATGTTAGGTTCATTATTGATAGATTTGTGGATCTTATAATGGTCATGTTGTGTATCATTTATTTGTTTCATCGGGGTTTGGATTGTAACACGGGGAGATGTTTTACACCTTTACGCCTGGTGTCTAGAGGAGCTACTACTGGGTTGTGATGAAATCTGGGTGAAATACATTGATCAATCAATCTTGCATGTGATCTGACCTCGTCGCAAGACTAACATGGTATAGACAGATAAGGTAATAATTTAATATAGTGATATACTTCTAAGCTACATACGGCTAGACTGAAGGGGTAAAAAAGGGCAAATCCTTCCAATAGGAGCATGATAGTCATTCAAGAAGTTCCTAAGAAACATGAAATGTATACAATAGAATAAAGGGGGAAATAAAATAAAAACATATATGATACAAGCATTCATAAATCATAACGCTACCTGATTATAATTAAGAATAGGTTTTGCTAATGGATACTTCCATCCATCCAATCAAACACCCCTTCCCTTGGCCCGTCACACGCAGCCGCAGCTATATATGGATTAGGTCATAGGAGCGAGCGGGCGGTAAAGTAGAGACATGGTTTTCTTGCATCATTTGATACCAGAAAACCACACAACCTAGGGGATACAGGAGGTAGAATCAAGTCCGGTCCAAAAGAGTAGTCCCGTGCAAACGGAATTAAAAGGTGTAGGGTGTGATGGGGTTGGTGACGTGTTTCCATAGCAAAGCGAATCAACAAAATCCAGGCACACGTGTTGTTCGGGAAAGATGCCTCCGTCAACATCTATATTCCCGCGTCCCCTTCCTCGTGGGTGCGTGCGTTGGGCTTCCTTTCGGCTTCGTTCCCCTTTCCGGAGAATGAGCAGCCCGTGTGAGCACGGCCCTCCGTAAAACAAACAATAAAGGGTCTCTGGTGCGCAAAAGAGACCGTAATACAAAGGTTCATCATAACCCCTCTGTCTATATGCCAATGCAATGGTCATTAAAATAAAAAAGCATTGAATCCCTTGAAAGCACAGCGAATGAGGTGCAAGCAAGTTGGGCGCCTCAATCAACTTTTTCTTCATTGAGTTCCCAATCCCAGGCGCCAGTGGTGTGAGCGATCGACACGAAGATAAAATATGTACCTGGCCGAGCAAAAGAAGATGAAGGTAAAAAGCTCGACCAGCTGGTGAAAAGCGAAAGACTAAAGTAGGAAGTAAACGAGTGTGGTCGTCCTGGTTCGTCCAGGCGAGATGTAGAAAGCGAATGTCTCCAACGAGGGCATCAGGGGTTGCACGACCGGATGGGACGCGGTGCCGTGCAACACTGAGCCTTCGGTATTAATATTATCGACGGAGCTTCGAGGAGGTCGGGCTGCAGAATCATGCGGCAACGCAGCCCAGAAAAGTGTGCGGTATGATGTACAGTTAGGTCAAGACGAAGAGATAAAACATAGCAGTATCCAGGGTGACCAATCCAAAACGGAAAATCGAAACATCCGACCTGGTCTGCGAAATAAAAAGCGGTATTAAAGATATTATGTGTCGAAATCGGCTCAATGCAATAAACCCAGCATGTCGTCAAATGTACTAACGCCGTTCGTAAATAGATGCAAGAAGTGGATGCTGTATATGCAGGGAGGTTGGTGCAAAATGGTGGTCGACTGGCTCAAGCACTGAGCATATGTCTGCCAGACTCGACATCGGCGATGGGCGAAGCCAAAGACTCTCCTTCCCAGGTGTAGTGATCGTCCACCGGGCTCAGGGAGCCAGAGGAGATGGAGGATGACGATCCAACCGTCCACTCATCGCTGTCAAGGTTGAAGTCGCCGTCGTAGGCAGCCAAGTCGTAGCCATATTCGCGAGCAGAGTCTCCGATCTCCACGTAGTCATAGTCCCAGCGGAACGTCTTGTCGCTCTGGACGCGCGGGAGGAATCGGGTCTTGGCGAAGTAGAATGCAACCGTAGCCAGGAGGCCACCACCGACCAAATCCACTGCATAGTGGTGCGACAGGTACATGGTTGCCCACCACATCCACAGGGTGTAAGTCACGAACAAGGGCTTCAGCCGCGGGAAGACATGGCTCATGAACAAAGCGGCCAGAGTCGAGTCCGCAGCGTGCAGAGAGGGGAAAGCACCAAACACGACAGGAGACTGTCTGAAGCCCGAGGTGTACAGGTCGATTCCGAAAAGCTTGTCGATGCGAGCAAGACCCGCGGGGTTACCCGGCATGGAGTAGTCGGCCGGTGCCAGCCCGTAAAGGTTCTCGTACCACGGAGGCGAGCAGGGGAAAAACAGCTGGATGGCGACAGCAGTCATGCTGATGTAACCGAAAGTCCGTGCAAAGAGGGGAGTCGTGCCAGGAGGACCGAAAATGAACATGATGAGCGAGCAGACAAATGGCGCGCCATAGTGACAAATGCCATAAGGCAGCCACGCCAGCACGTCCAAGACAACGTTCTGATGAGCAGACAGAATGTTGCTGATGTTCGCTCCGTAGAGGATGTTTTCCAGGGCCGGAAGCACGCGGACCCAGATTGCCGGGCGCCAATCGCTTGGAACGAATCTATTTCAGACAGCGTCAGTTCCCAAGTTTCTCTCAAACTCCAGCATACTGCGATATGAAAGGGTGGTTGACTTACTGGCAGGCGTAGAAGAAGATAAGCCACCCCGCAATTGGAAGGAACGGCAAGAAGAATTGGCGAGTAATCGGGAGTAGGAGTGAAAGGAGAAGTAGGGTAAACATTGCCGTCTTCCCCAAAGGCCCAGGAGATCCCATCACACTCAGGGAGAAGATCAGGAGGATCAGCAGGAGCAAGTATTGAAAGTCATATAGCGTCCAACGATGGCTCTGCAGTGATCGGAGCGTATCCATGGGCGAAAAGGATGTTTGCAGAGACGAGATCGAAGATGTTGGAGAAAGCCTGCTGCGAAGCTTGGAGCGAATCTTCCGTCGCATGCGATGCGGGACGAGGAGCTGGATCGACCGCCATGGTACCTGGATCTGAAGCTTGCCGAACTGATTCTGCGTGCGGTCCTTCCAAGAAGGAAGGGTGGAATTCATCTCGGCGGCTAGTCACGTTTGGAAACCCCCGTGAAATCTTCGATAGTCAGGAAATCCCAGCACTTTAGGCGTAGCTGGAGGGAAGAATGTCGCCAGTCTTGAGGTTCGAGATGGTCAAAGGAAGCGCCCGGCGGAGTCGGCGGAAAGGGGGATTCTGGGCGTCAACGTGACAGAAGCTGAAAGGGGCGGCGCCTGGAACAAAACGTTTCGATCGCTGGCTGGCTCAAGGCCCGACAGGCGTTTGGTGAAGGCGGAGAAATACCAGATTGGAGGGATCCAGTAATGAAGTGGAAGCGCAGGCTCCGGTCTCCAGCGGCCAAACGAGGATATTCGGGGACGGTCACGTTGCAAGGGTTACTCTGACGCAAGGCGGACAGTAAGGGCGAGAGAGGAAACCAAGAACGAGGGAGACGTGTTTGCGAGGGGCGCAAATGGCCACGGAGCCGGAGGGTCGACGAAGGAAGAGAGATTGAGGAGAAAGAGGAGGAGGAGCGGAAGTATAGGCGGGAGGAATGGAAGGAAAAGAAAAGAAGAAACGGAAGAGAAAGAGGAAGAGAAGAGGGAACAATGGATGGGGATATGAGGATTTTGCAGGTTCTCGATCAGCAAGACAGACGACGGGGCGGACAGCGACGGGTACGGGGGCTTACGGGGCCTGACTGGGAAGTCGTACTCGTATTACCGGTTTGGCCCCGTATCATGTCGTCACTGCTATCCCTAATCAGGGTCGTCCGGGTAAAGCCACTAGCCCGCTTTGAGCATGGGAAAAGGAGGCCTTCCCCTTTTGGCTCTAGCTCGCATCGGCGGTGCCTCGGTGCGCTGGACAGGCAGATCCGAGGTGCCTGAAAGAACCAAGGTCCAACCTTTTTCATATTGCAGAAATTTTCTTCATGGTCGGGCAACGGAGTCCGCTACAACCGAACTGCGGGTGAGGCTAAAATTGAAAAAGATGGGTACAAACAAGCATAAGCCTTGTTTTGTTCTGCCTGGCAAGGCATAATGTAAACGGATCCAAACAGCAGCTCTCGGAGAAGTCGGGATATACTACGGAACATGCAGGCTAGTAGTTACTACTACGGATTTTGGCTGACACCGAGCAGCCAGAGACACAGACATAAAACTTCTCCGCAAGGAGTGACCTATGAGACACGCTCGCTGGTGACACGCAGGTTCCAAATGGATCTTACACATCACATTAATATAATCAAGATAGTGAAGAGGGGGCAGGAGTCTCGAGGGGAATGGAATAAGCAAACCTCAAAATCCAAATAAACAGTAAATAATATCACTCAGCGAGACGCCCAATTCAGACCATCCCAGCCAAACTCCCGGATGCTCATTTCATGGGATTCCGGCCTGCCCCTGATGATTGGTCTTGGAAGCTCCACCCGCAAGCCATCCGCAGCCAATGGGAAGCAGTGGATCTCCAGAACCAATTTCGCTTAACCCACAACGGTCTCACAGTCAGCAGCATCCGACCAAAGAAATCGCCGATTACCCTGCAGCCAAGACCCGCTGTCCCTGAATAGTCTGGTTGGTCACAATATCATCCTGCGCATTATGCGCATTATCAAATCTCCTCCTTCTTACCCTGCGGAAGCTAGGCACGATCGGACCCGGCATCGACACGATGCCATGTTGCTGGTGTGGGTTTTTGTACCTGTCTAGCTAGCTGGCTGACCGGCTGGCAATGCTTATACGGAGTCCATGTGCCGGGGTTGCCGTGTGAATTCCACTTTCAAAGGGAACAATCGGGGTGTTGGGCAAGAGGCCATTCCTCCCCCGGATATCAATCGGTAATCTAAACTTCCGGATCCCGCTTGCTTCATAAGTAGATAGTACTAGATAGTAGTCTGGGCTCAGAAGACTCGAAAATTCGAATCTTGACCTTTGTCCAAACAGAGTAGTTAGCGGCTATGGAGCTCAGACGGATAGACAGGACCGTACGACCCATGACTGGGTCAAGCAGCTCGGACGATAGCCGCGTGCCCAGCCCGACCTGATATTTGCTATCTAGACTAGCTATACAGTGATCAGCCAACAGGTGCTTTTTGTTGAGGGATTGTCCAGTGGCGCGCCCCCTCCGTCCTGCACAAAAGTCTAACAGGGCTAGTCTCTCAACCAGCCATCTTTCTTTCAACACGAAACAACCTGCGCCTGTCATATGCCCGATCTAACGCTCTCGAGGCACGCACTGCTGCTGCTGTAAGAAAAAAGCGCGCGTTGATGAGAGGGACCACGCATGCGCCTCCCCCTCCGTCATCCGCTAAATTACTACCTAGGAACCTACAATAGTAGAAACAGTTACTTGCTCCATAGTTACCTAATAACCAAGGTGTTAGCTCAAGGGGACACAGACACGGACGATGAATAATTAAACCTCCGTGGTCTAGCTAACTAAACTCACTAAACTATTAGTTATAGGGGACATGACATTTTCAGGGTCAAGGATAGGCAATGATGTGCAAGTCTATGGGAGTCTAAGCAGCAGTCTAGTAGGGAATTATGTGTATTGGGCACACGAGTAGAAAGAAAGCTGGAAGCGCCGGGCCACCCATTACCGTCTGGTATGGTATTGTTGGCATACCATACGTATGGTACGCGGGCTCCATACCATAGTTGGAATACCTCGAGATGGGTGGGAAGATCACGGCAAGCCGCGCCGGGCAGAGATGATCAGTTCACATCCGAGTAAAGTAGCGAGTAAAAGACATCACGCTCACTGGTAGGCTTTTTTGGGTGTGAAACTCTCTGCAGTAGTTAGTTGGAAGTCTGGGGATCTAAATGGCAGCTGACCATGGCACACGGCAGATTACTGCATCCATCGTGATGATGCGGGGAGGATGGACGCCGGCGCTTCACTTCAACTGTGGTGATTTCTGGCAGCTTCATTATTGAGTTGTCCATCTGTGTAAGAAGTAAGATATAGTAATATAATGCGTTGGGGGAGCACAGCACTGAATGAAGGTATGGTTTCAGAATGCGGCGTCATGAGTAGTTTTGGCCCCAATTTACTTTGATGACAATCTCCATCGTGGTCGTGGCCGCGTTAATTACTTTGGTTACTTACCTCAGTATTTTACTTCTTGCATTGATTGAGTTCCGCTGATTCAGCGTCAGGTGATTTTCATTTCGGTAACAAATAAATACATATTGGGAACACTTTACGAGGACACGGGTCCAGCTTCATTTCGGAGGCTCAGAGAGCACAGCTTCTTCTTACGTAGCACAGCGGGCAGTGCTTTTCGATAGTTACCTTGATAGATTCGTTGCTGGGATTAATGGTGAGCTAAGATTAAAGGACGAAGGAATGCCGCAGTCTAATTCCAGCCGCATAGGCAGCAAAGCAACCCCAGAATGGAGGTATACCTTGCGAATCAGAAAGGGATGCGAGAACAATAAGATAATAGTACTAGAGGGGGGCAGTGAACGTGTCTCATCTATTCTTACCAAATTAACTATCAGAAAGGGTCCGATATTGAAATCAAAACCCTTATTCTCCTCCCTCCCCTAAATCCAGGGATATTTGTCGACAGCAAGCTCGTATTCGGACTTCCTGTGATGGCTGAGGGTTGACGGTTGCCTGGCCGTGAGTGGATCGGCATAAGCTTGGGCCAACACAACGCGACCACCGCCCGACGCCGAGCCGTGGCTTGGACCAGAAAGATCATCATCATCATCATCACTACTTCAGTCCGGGTTGAGAAATTCAACGTCAGGGATGCATAGGGGGGTACTGACAGCTAACCTCTGATGTCTCGAAGCAAGAAAGAAAGTAACAGAAGCATCGGTCCCCGCTTCTTTTCTTGTTGCATCATGGACATTCGGTTTCCGAGGGCAGAAATCATGGGGTTCAACGTCGTATACATCATAGTACATCATGGAAAGCCGAGACAACCGTGGGCGGAGTTCCAGCCCATCAGCCACAATTGACTCGAAATCTGGTTTTCTTTTCCTGTAATCCGAGCTTCTCGAACGTCTCCCACATTATTGATGGAATATCGATCTGACATCAGGAACGAGCAGTAAGTGAGTGAGTGAGTGGGTGAGTGAGCCTTGCATTCGTTTGGAGTGCAAGTAAGGATCCGTACATACATACACATTTTACTTACATACAACAATACAACATTACTTTCTTCCTTTACTTCTTTACTTTTCTCAAACCAAACTCATGGTAGGTTTTTTTCGTTGACCGCCGCCCGGTCGGCAGCTGCAGGAGCCCAGCCCCATAGCATCACCTGATGTTCAAGTTGTTTTTTTCTTCTTTTGCTCGTGCCATCCGATGGCACGAATCAGACAGCCACTTCATCTGCAGGGTGGTCCGGGCAATGAGGTCATGCCGCATGCCGTTCCGCTATGATGTTCGTTGTTTAATCATTTCAGTTGCTGCCCGCATGCCACTCGTCCGGTGGTCGAGTTAACTCTTGGATCGCCTCCAGGATATACAGTGGTGTCTGTTCGGGTATTGCTTTCCCTAATGGATGGATAAATTACAGATGATACGCAGCAATAGTATACTGTGTATGTTATAGACTACCACTACGGAGTAGTTGATGCTCTCCCTCTCCGGAAGATCTACACTACTAAGGTAGGTAACTCCATCTACTATCACAGTACATACATAAGTAGTAGTAAAGTATACTTAGCAAGCCAATCACGACACAATGTCAACACTAGCACTGCCTTGTGCTGCGGTGCACTGCACTGGGCTTTGTTACAGCCTGATGGATTACTTACCCACATAATCAAACCACCCACAAGGCTTCACTCATCACTTCATGAGTTCTCGACATCTGCAACATTCTATCTAAACCATCCCCGGTACAACTAATTGTACAACCCAAAATACCGTGTAGATACATACTCCACAATGAGGCTCAAAGCCATGCTCCCCTTTCCCTCAATCCCCCCCATTCCACCCCTTCCAACCCGTGAAACATACCTACTCCTGAAGGAACAGTAGATGAAATGGAATGCTTCTAACTTCTCACCGGGGAGAAAATCAAGCCAAAGCGTGGCTAACAGTGGGGAAAGGGAGGTAGTAGTTGAGAACCGGCATGTTGTTTCAGCCCAATCAATCGATCGGCGAGAAATGGAATGCTTACCGGCCTTTAGCCTTTCTTTGTATTTCTTTTCTTTTTTTCGGTTATACTTATACTTTTTTTTCTACTACTCGATGGATAGTGATCTGCCAATCTGCCAGCCTGGCTGGGCTATGCCGAGTCGCAGTGCAGATCAAGGTACGGAATTACTAGTAGATGACTGGATGAATGTTGTCGATCTGCTGTGATCTGGGGAATGCAGGCACAGCCACTGCTTACTTAGTAGTATACCGATGTCACTGCCACTACTAATTGGGAGAGGTGCTAGATACTAGGATCTCGGCACTAGGTGGCATTGTTTGCTTTGTTCTGTTTGCTTGTTTCTCGCTTGTTCGCTTACTAGTTGCAGTGATGGATCTATATTTGGGGGTATAAGGAACTACTGTATGTATAATGGTTATATATAGTATCAGTTCTTTATGAGAGATATGATAGGGAACAATGATTGAATTGATGGTGCCTAGTATAATTGGTATTGTATGTTGTAGAGCATGTATGTATTCAGTATCTATTGGTAATGGGAGATGTAGATACCAGATGGTACTGCTAGTATGCTGTGAGGGTATTTTTGGAATGTTGAATGATCGATCATGAACGAGTGAGAGGTTTGGTGATGGATGGGGTATGATGTTGCCTCAGGTTGAAGGGAGGATGTGCCTGCCTGAGGTTGCAGTGGATGGTTGTGGATGCCTTGCTTGGGAGGACGTTTGCAGCAGGGCTGACGATTCTGGGAAGATTTCCTCCAATTGTTGTGTGGGGTGATGTAGTATTCGAGGGATTCGATTTACTAACAACTTAACTAAACTATTCCTTGATTCAATAAATCTATGTACATGTCCCAAACCAAGTCCCAACAACGCCGAAGATAGTACCATTTTGAGCTCTGGTCATCCCGCCAAAAACGCCATTTTTTTAAACAATCATGTCGTGAATCGAACTGGCCCTCGTGCTCGGCTAATGCTCATGACCATGAGAGTCTGCCAGCATCTGGAATCCCTTCACCAGTCCCATTGCAGAACCTGCTGCAACACCTCCGACTAGAACCATCTGCAAGCCGCCAATGACGCCGCGTCTGATGTTCCGATATCCCTTCCATCCGCTCACGAAGCACGTCTTGCCGTATCCGAACAAGAACAGAGCAACAGCCATCGTGGCGATTGACCAGCGCAGAGCAGAGAGTACATCATGAGGCCCAACGAAGAAATAAGGCAGGAGTGGCACGAAGCCACCGATGAAGTATCCCAGTGCAATGGTCAGGGCGCAGATAAAGGCACGAGAGCCAGAGGGTTCCTGGACGGTGTGATGGAAGTTCATGAGAAAGGAGGGGAGGTTAGGGGATGAGGAGAGGTGTCGCGTGAGCTCTCCCACAAGTTCTGCGGGGAGATCATAGGGCGCAAAGACATCGGAGATCGTCTCGGTCACCGAAGCGGGGTCAGTCAGGATCTCTTGCTTCGTCTCTTTCAGGGTTGCGCGGTAGGACTCCCTGAAGTCCGGTTAGCTTTATCCGCTTCTTTCCTCCTCTAACATGAAAAGGTTGGAGAATACTCACTCTTCGCTCTTTGCACCCAAATAGCCTCCCAATCCCATGGAGATGGCTCCTGCAATGAGTTCGGCCATGCCGCCAAAAACCACGACCTTGGTGTCTCCCAAAGCAGATAATCCCGCGGTTAGAGCAAAAGGAACCGTCATGCCGTCGGAGAGACCGATGATAGCGTCGGAGACGATACGTCCGTCAACAATCTTGGACTCCTTCTTCTCCGCTTTTTCCCGGCAGACAGACCGGGATGAGGAAGACTCGCTGTCGTCGCCATTTCGAAGGGAAACGTGAACCTCTTTTTCCAGATCAGGTTGACTGAATCCCTCTGAAACGGGAGAGTAACTGGAAAGAAGGCCTCGAAGAGAAGAGATCGACATGTTGACAGAATTGACAGGAGTTCGAATGTTGTTTCAACCAAATTTGAAGAAGAGTATGAGGAGAAAACTTTGCTACTGGACTGGCAGGTCACACAGTGGCAACCAGACTAAATAAGCAGCAAGAAGACTAGCCTGAAAATCGGGGATTTCTGCTGAAGAGGACGATTGCTGGGTGAGGAAGTAGATTTCAGAACAGCTGGATCGGGGCGACAATTGACCTATGGGCTGCAGCAAATAGATCACAGCAGCAACATCAGCATGATCTCAGGTCCAGGAAAGTTTTAGTGATTATTATTATTCAGTCGGTCTACGGGAGCGTCGGCTACTACATATGAATGAGCTGCATTCACCGAGGAAGAGAGACCAGGAAGCGGACGGGAAAAGCACAATGAAGCGACCCCCTCCAGGATGCATCTCGTGCTCCGGTGATAGCCAGCCAGGCTTATCATCTGCCTATGGAGAGAAGCTGACCGACAACGTGCCTGATGGCCTCTCAGTCATCTGCAGTCGCGGGGGTGCGCGAATGCGGCACGTGGGCCTCTGATTGGCTGGGGCAGGCGGGATACTGCAATCAGGGGCCCACTTCACTGCGGAGTCCCTGAAGCTTGGGCCGGTAAGGGAAGGCGCCCTTGCCTCGTTGGGCTTAGTGGCACAGTGGGTGTCTCCGCCGCTGAGGGTGGCTGTCCAATCAGTGATGCTTATTTCCTAATACAACACTATTTGTCCCTATCACACTCCACTTCGACTGGCTGATTAGTACAATCGGCTGTCCGGTCCAGCCCCGATTAGTCTGCCAAGTTAAGCTGCAATCGAGAAGCACGGCTGAAGCACGATGCACCGCTTGCATCGACTATCGTCTACTATCGTCTGCTATCGCATGCACCGGAGGACGCCGATTTCACCGAGTTCACCTCTTCTCCCCTCTCCAGGAAGTCCTTCGCGTGAGCGGAGACGCTTTCACCTCCCTATTTCGGCTTAATCGACGCAGCTATCTCCGACATACTGCTTCATGACCAATCATTCCAGCAGCTGATCACCATCCTCCGCGGCTGTATAGTCCGAATTGTGCTCGTTGCTCCAATTCTTTCCCCTCATCCCACTGCGGAGTGCATCCGAAGTTGGCATGTTCTTGTGTTGCCTTGCTTGCAACAAAAAGGCTCACGCGAGCAGCCCGTCTGCCTACCACGTGGGATGGGCCATCTCGCGTGCCATTGGACCATGGTTGGCAGTTACGGAGAATCGCGACTCATTCTTTGGCTTCTAGCTGGTTAGTAAACGCAAGATGTCTGCCGCAGTGGATCCCTCATGCGCCGAAGGAGAACCCCATGCATCCGACCAGGCCCGGTTGCGTCCTTCATCATGCGAGGTAGGAAGATAAATATCTCACCGGTCAGCCCCGGTGTCGGTGAGGTGGGATTCTGAAGCTCAGAGGTCTCTCCAAAAAAAAAAAAAGTGGTTGCGGAGCAGTAGTCAACATGAAGCTGAACGTGGCTGCTATCTCGGCCCTGGCCACTGTGGCCTCCGCTCTCCCTCACAAGCGCAGTAGCGATCAATGGGGACACATTCGCTCCAATGTGAGTGCAGCTGCCTGTCGAGCAACGATTGTGCCACTGACGCGGACAGATCAAACATGTCATCTACCTGATGATGGAGAATCATTCATTCGACAACATCGCCGGATACTGGGACTTTCACCCCGACATTGACAACTTGCGCAACATCTCCTACTGCAACGAGTACACCAATCCCAATTGGACGGTCTGGGACGAACCTCTCAATGTCTGCGCTGCGCCATTCGAAACCGAGGTGCCCTTGACCGATCCGGACCACAACTTCGCCGGCGTCACGTATGAGATCTTCCGCAAGTGGTACCCCACCAAGGACGATGTTCCCAACATGGGAGGTTTTATTGAGCGCCAGTCGGAGAAATACGCAGCCAGTCCGGGCGAGTCTAGCTTCGTCATCAAGGCCTACGATGAGAAGAAGACGGCAACTCTAATTGAGATTGCGAAGAACTTTGCCTTCTGGGACAGCTATGTGAGTTGCGGATTGTGTTGGTGATAAGCGCACACTGACCAGACAGTTCGCGGAACACCCTGGCCCGACCAACACCAACCGCCAGTTCGCTACTTCGGGATCGACCTGCGGTTTCGTTGACAACACCTACCAGTCCGCCGGATGGTATGCCAACTACACCGGTACGACTTGTGCGACGTCGATCTTCGAGGCTCTCAGCAAGAAGAACATCACCTGGAAGAACGTAAGCGATGTGACACATTTGGAAACGGAGCAATGGCTAAGTGACACAGTACTATGAGACGGACATTGTCGATGCCTACATGTACAAGGTGAGTAGGCCAGATTCCACGTCAGTATAGTTCTAACAGGAGCAGTGGGTGCAAGATAATGCGATGGACCGTCTGGTTCACTCCGACCAGTTCTACCGCGATCTCGAGGAGGGAACTCTGCCCCAGTTCTCCTACTACAACCCCGAGTGCTGCACCATTGACTCGATGCATCCGACCAGCAACATGGCCTCGGGTGAGCAGCTGATCAAGCATCTGTACGATGCAGTGCGCAAGTCCAAGTACTGGGACAACGTGTAAGTGCCTGCAGAAGTCACTATGAGCTTAAGCAACTGACAAATCAGTCTGATCATCCTCAACTTTGACGAGCACGGTGGTTTTGCTGACCACGTTCCCACGCCGGTCAACGTTCCCCAGCCCGAAGACGGCATCACCTTCACTGGCATGTCTGACGGCCACAACGTGACCTACGACTTTACTCGTCTCGGTGTTCGGTGAGTATCCAGCCATAAGATATCTGACATAGCTAATGGCATAGTGTGCCGTCATTCGTCATCTCGCCCTACATTCCGGCGAACCACCTGATCCACGACCAGGGTACCATGTATGCCAACAACTCGGCGTACACGCACACCTCCTTCCTGCACTTCCTCCAGGAACTGTGGGGTCTGGAGGGACTGAACAACCGGGTGCAATGGGCCAAGACGTTCGAGTACGTCTTCTCGAGCGAAAAGCGCGACGACACGCCGGAGAAGTTGACGACGCCGACCTGGTACGGCAGCAGCTGGGAGCCGAAGCCGGATCCATACTACAAGCTGAACCAGGATTATGACTATTACGAGAACCTCGATTAAACTCATGATGATGAGACGGATGAGATGTGACTAACATCATGATGACTGCAAATATGCAAATATGCAAAGTTGATATGAAATCGAGTCAATGCGATTCGTTGATTCATGTATCTCGTTAGCAAGCAGAAGAGGGGAAAAAAAGGAGATAGCCGCATAATGCATAGCTAATAACGAATGCAAGCCAGCATGTACAGCATAGCAGAGCATAATACCACCCGCACGCACCCCATGCAGAAGAAACCCAAACCACCAGAAAACTCCAATCCCAATCCCCAATCCCCAGTATTATATAAATACCAATCCCCAGAGTTCATTAAACTCATTGCCCCTTCTTATCCCCCTCTCCCTCCTGACCCTGCTGATACCCAGCCCACTCCCCAACCTTCCCCGCCGCACTCCAAAACCGGTCCCTCAACCCGTCATCACTGGCCCCAGCGCCATTCTCATTCCAATTCGTCGGCTTCGTCATATCCCACAGTCGACTCTTATACGCAGGGAAGGAGGTATGATTCCACATGCTGACGAGGATACTACAGTCACAAAAAAAACATTAGCTTCACAATACCAAAGAATATTGAGGAAAGGGGATATACCTCTGACTCCGATCCAAATAATCCTCATCCTTCAACTCCTTCACACCAACGGTGACTCCATCCCGGGAGAACGTGACATTCTTCTTCTCCATCTTGGATCGCGTGTTGCGCTTCACATCTTGGATGATTGAGTAGGTGATGTAGAAGATTGTGCCCAGGATGAGGAGGACGAAGAGGAGGATGAAGAGGGGGTAGAGGCGGGTCATATTTTTATTTCCTTTGTCTTTTTTTACCCCTAGGGTTGCGCTTGTTGTGGTGGTGTTGTGTAGTAAGTAGATGGGTAGAAGTGAAGTGAAGTGAAGTGAAGTGAAGTGAAGTGAAATGTGGTTGGTGTGCGGTGGTTGTTGGTTGTTGTTGACCTTATAAGGCGTAGGGCTGATCGAATTGGATCGGGAACTTGAGAACTTGAGTTGTAACACGAACACGAACACCTTATATAATAACCCACACGAGGTATTTAAATTATTGATTTCAATCCTGGTGGGTGGGGTGTGGAGATATTGTGGCTTTGACACGAGAAGAAAATAGAATAGTGAGTAAGTTCACTGTGTAAAGAGTGAGGGAAAGGAGGAAAAGCAAAGATGGTTTCTCCTCAAATTCAAGTTAACCCACACCCAACCAAGGAAAGGAAAGTATGCGTGTGTGGCTTTGCGTAACTCGGACAATAATGCCAAGGGCTGTGTGCGGGCGGGGCGTAAGGAAAATGCTTATGAACTATTTCCTAATTCCACCAACGGGGAATTCGGGTGCCTAGGATGCCTAGACTTATACCTGCTATTATTTTGTAGGTTAGTGTGGCTTGGTAAGGGAGACAGACAGGATATGGAAAGATGGCTGTGTAGATGAAGTTGGAGTATTTATAGTACTAGTAGTGCTAGTATTTGGAGAAAAATTGGGGAATATGTATGAAGAGCAGGGATGGATGATATATTGATGGCTGAATGCAGGTCATGCAGTCAATTTCGGTTGTTCCATCCATCCATCAGCATAAACATTACCCGATTAGGTATGCAGAGCGTTGATGGGGGGGGGAGAAAAAGCGGGAAGGGTTGATGGATTGGGATGCAGGGTTCGTCGGTAGTTGGTTGTGACATTTGCATAAGAGTAATACTTAGTAGTCAGTGCTAGGCAGAAATGTCATCTGATTTGACACCTGATCAATGATCAATTGCTACTATTGATGGAAGGTGTGTCTGTATGTAAGGTACGGTGGAACGTGACCACCACTATCTCACTCACCAGTGAAC